GGATTTAAGTATATCTATCTTTAAAATGACCAACAAAAAACAGTTATCAATTTGTTATTCTTTACTTTGCAGACATCTTCTGGCAGTCCTGGCCACAACTATCGTGATTCACGTGCTTATTTCTTTGATAATCCTCGAAGATATGACAGCGATGACGATTTATCAAAAACTAACGCACCAAGAGACATGTAAGTATCATCATCTCCAAGTAATAGTAAAAATTAGGAATGAAACTGGATACTGGTAGCATAGTGGTTGTTGCATCAGGCTCATGTTCAGTAGACCCAAGTTTAAATCTTACCTTAGGCTGAACATCAAAAAGGGTCAATCTCTACCCTGGGTGGGAGTGCCACAGACACAATGGGAAGGATCATTCCACTGGTCGAGATTCATTCACTAACAAATGCGATTTTCTGGGAACTTTAGTTGGGATTCATAGGTGCTTGTGCTTCTGGTTGACGCCAGGTTTGTACATTAAATTGCCATTTGACAGCCCTGTCCCAAACATGAAAATGGCTTTTGAAAGAAAAGGCTTCATCCTAATATTGTTTGTTTGTGGGTGTGTAGGTTTTTTTGTAATGTAATTTGGTTTTGTTCATATTCTTTAATCTGATTTTCCTACCATCTTAAAATTTGTCAACTTTCACGACATGGATCTGTTTTCTGTGATCAATGTATTCTCTGCAATAGAAATGCTTCAAATTACCAGTAACTATGGTAACCATTCATTCACTGTGGATCATCAGATGTGCAGCACTTCTTTTTATACCAAGTTTTGATGGATTGTGGCAACTAATAGTCAGTTTGCAACAGTTGGTCTCATTACCATGCTTTAACTCCCTACACTGACTATATAATGGGACCCAGAACAAAGGCAATTATAATGTCAATAATCTGTGTACGGTCAACATCTATGATGAAAAATCCAGAAAACCTGCATAATTTGCTGTAATGAATATAGTAAGTGTGATATGGATAGCACTGATTGTATGACGAATTTATGATTACTGATTATATGTGTTACATTTATGTCCTTGTTGAATTTCCACTGCTAAAACGTTCGGTCCTTAAGGCCTCCTCACCCATAACTCTAAACCTAACCTTGCATTGTATATACTCTTCTGCAGAAGATGCATAGTTATCTGGAGGAGCATATACATTGGGGGTGGTGGTGGTGAAGTGATAGTGTTAAAGTTTAGGTTAGGGGTGAGAGGACCTTAAGTTTTCATGATTTCAGGATTCATGAAGACAATTTTGTGATTTTCACTAACTTGCATAATTTTCAAAAAAGCAACAAAAAACAATTAACAGTAATTTCAAACTGCTTCACAGAGTAATGATCAAATATATTTATGTTTTAATATATAATTCATCCTTATTTTTACATTTTCAGTCACAATTGTGACATTTCATCACTTCCTAGAACACCTATTAACAGCATCACGCCGGCTGAGAGGGGTTACGGCACAATTACAAGAAGTAGCAGTTATCCGTCTGGTCAGTTTGCTGGTATACCTGGTACAACGCCACCACTCTTATTCTCATCAGGCAATGTATTTTTAGGTGGCAATACACCTGTCAATGACTAAGAACAATGTTGTATTAGGTGATTAGTTTGATTGTTGGTAGTTACCTCCAGAACAGTTCACTTGCTGGATTGGATCGTTCAGGTACTTTCAATCTGTTACTGGACTGTGATATGGTTTTTCAATGCCCTTTATTGACAAATCTCGCTATGATATAGAAATAATCGACTTTAGTTGGGTATGTGGTCACTCGATAGACTACAACATCCTTCAAAAATAGTATTTTGAATGATAACAAAATGTCACAGCTGTATTCCATCACTAGAGGGCGCTGTTACTTATGGAAAGTTTATTGGTTGCAGTCAATCCAAAGTAATTTGTGCCTGATTGGTTACCTAATCCTAACAGTCAGACCAATCAGAGAGCAACTTCTTTGGTGACAGTTTTTTTTTTTTGACTTGTTATGCCTTGTATATATGCTTCAACTCAGTTGCAGTATTATAAGTTGCTTTTGGGGAAGTGGGATTACCGTACTCGACCGTGATAGCGCCCAGGGTCCTCAACTCATAAAATTTAGGGGCTTACCCGAGCACCCCCTCGGAAAAGAGTGCAACTGACAATTTTAATTCACTGTGTGACAGATTGCGGGGATATTATGTCTTTGAAAGTTTGAGGGAAAATAAAATTACGAAATTAGGTGCGTCGTCATTGACTCTTACAATGAAGAAACAGAAATGGTCAAATATGCACATTTTATTACAATATTAAAATTTACGAGATTAAAAATATTTGAGTCTGTTTGAACACAGTCAAAGTCAAAATCTTCATCATTATTGCCACTAACGTACGTGTCGGATCATACGCAAACTCTTGATAAAATGCACTTTCCGCCATGATATATTTGCATTTGACCTGCATCAATGTCCTTTGACCTAATGGGTTAAGTCTGTTATTATCCAATCAAAATGCTGTGTGGTACCGACGCAATTCTTTGGAAATTCTCGAAGACTCTGGTAACACAATGCGGAAGTGAATTATCGATGTCGAAGTACGATCTATTGGAATTGATTTTGGCGAATAAACGACATGTTTGTTTTTTTAAAATGGTAACTAGCAATTATTATCGGTAAACTGAATACGGCATGCAATATTTACTGCATTTTACTTTTATTAACAGGTCATTGTCGAAGCGTAGTTTATGCATTGTTACCGTAGTCTATGCATTCACAACATATTCGCGGCAGTCGATATCCATGCTGTATCATGATACAAAAACGATTACCAGTATTCGTTAAGCAATGATCAAAGACCAAGTTTTAAATTATCGGCATTGTGACCCTGAGTATAAAAATTGCGCAAAAGTGGGGGGGGGGGGGTGCTTGACCGGACGGGCATGGGCGCTAACACGGACAAGTGCGAAATTGTTGTTGTAAATCAAGTAGTGATTACAATTTATCCGCCAGAATTTGGATAGCACCATCATCTTTTGACATTTGATAATATGGTAATTTCAAGATATTGTAAGTAAATTGATATTTGGAAAATCAGTTGATTGAAATGAATTATAAATTATAATAGCACAATGTACTAGTTCAAGTTTATGATGTCCATTGTACAATAAATTAATTTTTGATTTATGTATGCTTTTATTGGGAGTGAACTTCTAATAGAGCAAATACTGTAATGTATTCTGTCAGATAAATTTAAAAAAAGATAATATTTAAGTTCAATCATGATCTGTAATTGAGATTTTATAAATTTAGAATGTCTGCCAAGAGAGTTCGATTTTGGGGTGAAATCATTGTGTGTGAAACCAGTTCACACATTTTCCCACAAAGTACTGTATTTGCTCTATTATTATTATTCCATGCACTTACATAAATGACAGATGCATGTCTATTGTCATACTCAATGATCCAGTATACAATTAAATGCAATTTTTTGTTCTAGTTTTTGTTCACTTCTATGAGAACATATACGTGATTGTGCATTTGTCTGGAACTTTGCTCGGAATTTCCTGTATCAAAATCAAATTGTCCAGAAAATGGGATTTGCATCAGATTTCCCGAAGATTGTACTCTTTGTGCATGCATATGTTTCATCAAGTGTAGTGTTTATTACTGCTGAGTTTTTATTGTGTGCATGATAAAAATGAAACCATCCATCCATGCACCTATCTATTCATTTTTTACTTAAAACCACATAATGTTATATGATTGTAATTTTGTAAACCTATCCATTAAATGTATTATGCAATATTGGTCACATGGCTTTAAAGTAGTATTTGGGTTCAACAAATTAACTAGTTTTTAGTGGATTAGCAATGTCTTAGTTGGACAAACTCTATTTGTATATATTCATGTACCAAATGATTCAAATTTAACTGGAACATCAATTAATGAATATTTTTGGAACAGTTCAGCAATAAATATCTTTGTAAATTGAAGGATGTTTTACAGTCCTATTGTGTAAATGTGTTTATCATGTGACAGACTATTCAGTTTTTGAAAAGCAATTAGTATACCAATTTAGTGCAATTTATTAAATCTTTGGTGCTTATTTTTGCTAAATCAACCATCCATTAATATTATACAAAACAACAAATAACTGGGTTTGTTTGGCCATAAGGTTATGTTTATCAAACATTCACCAAATGCAGTTTCCACTTAATTTTTGCTGTACAATAAATTTTCATATGAAATGTATTATTAAAAGATGTGTCTTTCTCTATTGTATTGGGGAACATGTGCACAATTTTTTTGAGGGTTGGAGGGGTTAACATCCATTTAGTTTAACATCCATATATTAAACTACTTACTTGGGGTGGGCCTTTCCCTTCAATGTACATATTGGACAGCTGATAGTCAGCAACGATTTTTTGCTGTTGGCCATATTTGATACAATCTTTGATAATCTTTTCACTGTCAGTCATATTTGATTTAGTACATGTACTTGATAACCTTTTCCCTTTCTGCCATAATAAATACAATTCTTAATAACCTTTTTACTGTCAGCAATATTGGATTTAGTACTTGGTAAACTTTTTACTGTCAGCCATGTTGGATTCAGTAATTGGTAACCTGGTTACTGTCGGCCATGTTGGATTCAGTACTTGGTAACCCGGTTACTATCAGCCATGTTGGATTTACTACTTGGTAACCCATTTACTGTTGGCAATATTGCATTTAGTACTTGGTAACCCATTTACTGTCAGCCATGTTGGATTTTGTACTTGGTAACCCATTTACTGTCAGCCATGTTGGATTTAGTACTTGGTAACCCTTTCATTGTTAGCAATATTGGATTGGTAACCCCATAGACCCAGTCAGTTTTGATAGCTATGATAAATTTTACTTAAACAAGTCTATAAATATGCCGCCTTAAGCAATTCCCGTGTGACATAGAAGTACAATATATATCATTCATCAAATGAATGTACATCTTGTACAAATGGGTTGGTAGGAGCTCAGAATACATTCATTTAGCAAAAACTGATTGAAACCTAACCACAAAACAATGATCTGATTGATCTTTTGGGGAACGTTACAGAGTTTTTGCAAAACCTTGCTTGTACATTTGTTCCTGCAATATTCTTATTACACAGTTATTGTCAAGCGGTTTTTATTAATTTTGTTTTATATTTATTAATTTTAAGAATTTAGTATAACCAAAGAAGGTGGTGTTGAGACACATTTTTGTATTGTGTAATATTGGTATAAATAAATGAATGCAATTGTGATAATATATTTCTATTAATTTGTTGGTTTTTGGTCAAGAAAATTGTCACACAATGAAAGTGAACATAATTATGACCAGCAAAAGATTAACATTTCGTTGTTTCAGGTGCTGCAAACAGTTTTTATTGGATCTCATAGATATATCCACATTTATTTTATCCACAAACTGTAAAATTTGGTAACAATCTGAAAGAACTGTGCTGTATGGAGGCAATGATTGAATAGCTACAAATTAGCTAATTGATCTGCACATATTTCAACCACTAACTAAAGTTTGAAGATTATTTCAAAATACACTACTGGTAATTACCCAGATTCATTGAGATATATGAAGTAGTTCTTGAGATGTCAATGCAAAAAGCTTGTAATTTACAAGTAATTTATGCAAATTAGGCCTGCATAGATTTAACTGCAAAAACTAGCTCTGCACACTGGAATATAAACAACCCTTCTTTAGCATGATTTATTTAGAAACAAATTAATACAAGATGAAAACTTTAAGCTTTTTGTAAGAGGTGGAGCATAACAGATTATCATGGATGTCATCAAAGAGACATTACATGTATCATGACTGCTTGTTTTTATGTCATAACGCAAAATGGACTGATCCAGTCAAAAATGACATTACAACCGGTAGATACTGTAAAACTATTTATTTTCATTGGTGTTTAATTTTACTATATTTATACTGTGAGCAATTTCATTGGGTTTTAGATGCATGAACTTGGCAGAGAAACAATGAGTTTTATTGCTATTTTACATGTTCATGTGGATTTGATTTAGCGAATTTTACTTATCGATGAAAATAGCAAAATAAAAACCATTGAATAATTAATGCATTTACAGTATGAACATTGTGAGGAATTTTACATTAAATGTAATTACTGTTGACATGGCATGCCATTAAGGGAATCTCTGGAGGGTTCTTTTTATAATGTCATGGTTTGAACTAAATATTGAAAGAGCTGAAAGACTTATTTGTTGTATGTGAGCATGTGCCTAGGTCCATGCTAACCTATTGCCAGTCATCAATGATGAATTACTTATGAATATAGGCAGCAAATATAAATGTCACTATCACCATCAATGGCTCAGATGAATAAAAACCAGGTATTATTCTGAGACGAGTAATTACAGTATATAATCCCTGTGAGTTCTGAAGTTTAGGAAATATATAAGAAGTTTGAACATAACAGTCGGAGAATGTCAGACATATGGCTCCAAAACTGCATTCACTAAAACTGCCACCAGTCGGCCATTTTCAGTCTCATCCATCAAAGTTACGTGCATAAAGTTTCCATCAATGTGCATACCACGTTGGAACCAAATCTGCCAATGCAAGACTGAGACCCAGATCCAAAATTGCAGAAATGCTTGCTTTAAGGAACATTAAAAACAACTGCAATTCGAATAACCAAATGAATAAACTTGCGACATGTATATGTACATGATAGGCCAGGAAATGTCGGAGATATAACTCTGAAAACAAATTTGATAAAACAAAATGGCCATCAGGCAGCCATTTTGAATCCGATCTGAGAAACGAAATGACTTGCATTCATGTCCCATGATGTCTGATGTCAGTACTAAGTTTGAACAAAATCTGTCTATACACGCCAAAAGATCTGGCTCTGGAATGGCAAAAATGTTTGATTTTGATGAATTAAAATGACCGCCATCTTAAATTGAATTGCTCAATGAATACATGTGCAGATGTGCAACATGATTTATATATGAAATTTAGAAGTTTGGAAAAGCAATAAAACAAAATGGCCATCAGTCGGCCATTTTTAATCCGATCTGAGAAACAAAATTATGTGCATCAAGGTTTCTATAATTTTCAATGTACCAAGTTTGAACACAAAAACTTCCTTACAGCACCAAGATCTAGCAGCAGAAAGGCAAAAATGCTTGATTTTGATGATTTCTCAACATTAAAATGGCCACCAATCAGCCATGGATGCGCATATGTCGCCCGAGATATGAGACATATTTGTGAAGTTTGAATGTTATTGGACCAGGCGTGTCTGAGATAAAGTCCTGTCCAGAACTTTATATCTAAAAAGAGTCCTTGTATGAATACTTTATTCTATACATGTACTGTTTATTAATTGCATGTAATAGTAGCATATTGTATCATTATAGTATTAATAATTGTGACCAAACTATTTTATCTTTAGCAAGTAAATTATATTTAATCTGTGTAAACACTGATTAGTCCCCGTCCGGACACAGTCCGAAAACGGGGACTTATGTTTTGCCCTGTGTGCGTCCGTCCGTGCGTCCGTCCGTGTGTCCGTGCGTCCGTCCGTGATCACCTGTATCTCGAACATGCATGGACCGATTAAGTTCAAACTTCACTCATACATCACACGTTATATGGGACATATGCACATGCATTTTTTTCATGATCCAATTAACGATAGCCGAATAGCGGCCATTTTAAGGCCGAAAATGCATCAAAATCGCACATTTTCACCATTCCGGACCCGGATCTCAGTTATGCATGGACGGATTTTGTTCAAATTTGGTACATACATTAAACATAATAGGACCTTGAGGCACGTCATTTTTTTT